ACTTTGTCTTCAGCATTCGTGTCGGGGTAGGCTGGTGTGCTTCTTCCTTGTGGGTTTTGTTGTTTCTTAGCTAGATGGCTGCCTGTTTGTCTTCAAGCCTTTAAGACTCCAGTGAGCAATTTATCTCCTTAGCACCTCCAAATGAGGTCATCAAGCTGCAACCTGATTGGCAGGCTAAACTCCAACCCTTCACTCTTAATAGTCTCAAATTAACCACAGATTATGTAACTACCACATTCTTTATAGGAGCAGAAAGTGTCATCTTACTCCTGTGGACAAGATAATGAGTTCAAACCACTCACCTGGCCAGTTAGCAGCTAATCAAGTAGTCCACTACACCACCAGAGCTCCTTATTTGCCCATAGAAACCTTCAATATTGCAACTCAAAGTCTAGCTTTTCTTCCTCAATTCTTGTCTTGAGATATGTTGAGCTTGTTCTTTCTTTTCAGTTTTCTAATTTGAAGTCTTTCTGCATTTCATTATAATGCAGAAAGTCTGTTATTGAGAAAGTCTCGAAATTTAAGGCTCAAGGTCATATTTTAGTTCTCATAGAGTTATTTCAATTTTCTTCAGCTTCAACCTGAACTTGCATGTAAGTTATATGGTCTGTTCCACCGTTGGCCCGTGGCTGATGATAATGAGTTTCACCCTCCTCTCTTCCCATAGATACAGTTGCTGTGTGTCCCATCTTCCAAGTTTCACAACATCATAGGTGTTAAGTTGTGAAAAAAGGTATTATTCTTCAATGAATAAACTATTGGTATAGCAAAGCTCTATCCTGTGGTCCCTGCTTTGTTCCTATCACTAAGCCCATATTCTCCGCATACCTTTTTCCCCTTTGTTTCCCTTTGTTTGATTGTATGTGTGATGACACTCAGGCAGAAGAAGCTACTACAACCCCTGCATTTCTTCCTCACTGGCTGTAGTGGTTGTTATGTGAATGTGATAAATAGTGGTATTAAATAGATTTGCTTGTAGGTATACAGATATTATACTATAAGTTTCTGACTAAAGAAGCTGATACAATTCTTCAGTTTCTTCATCACTGGCCGTAGTGGTTGGCACATGACCACGTTGCATAAACCCACCTCCTGCTTGAAAGCACTCAGCTTTACTTTTTCTGCGGGCTTGAAAGTCCACTACTTTTGTCTCATGCTCTGGCTCGTGGTCCTGCTGCTCCTCTGGCACCCTCAGATATTAAAGTTGTTTAATGGATCAAGGAGGTTCACTATGCAGAAATCTCATGGTCCAGAAGATGTTCTCCATTCCTGGCTCTTACTGGCTAATTAACCATTATCCCTCCTGCTTTCTGGGGGCTCCTTTTATACCCAGCAAGATGGAAATCATAAAGGATCCCATTAGCAGCTACTCAAGTGAATCTTATCAGTGTCTTCCTCCACCTTCTTACCCATCACCACGCAGGAAAATGTTGTTTGGTGGGAGTTAGAGAGACTTTGGAGAGAAGGGTCACATTCAATAATCCCTGTCCCTGCAAATTCAGATGCAAGTAAAATTTTGCTGTAGGTCATGCAAAAGTAGTTGCAGTAGTACACTGACTGGGAACTGCCATAAATTCAAGCCAGATTCAGAATATGTGAAATGAGAGAAATTATTGTTACTTCAGATAGGCCTGAGCTGAACACAGAGAATGCCAGAAGGATGCTTCCTTGAGTTTTACTGATCATACAAAGGCTTTTGACTGTGTGGTTCACAACAAACTATGGATAATATTTCACATTATGGAATTCCGGAAATTAATTGTACTCATATGGAACCTGTACATAGACCAGGAGGCATTCAAAGAGAACAAGGGTCTGGTTAAAATCAAGAAATATGTGTCTTAGGATGATATCATTTCACCACCCTTATTCTATCTGTATGCTGAGCAAATAAATCCAGGGAACTGGCCTACATGAAGAATAATTCAGCATCAGGAATACAGGAAGGCTTATAGCCTACCTGCAATATGCAGATGACTCAAGTTTGCTTGCTGAAAATGAAGAGGATTGAAGTGCCTATTGATGAACCTCAAAGACTAAAGCCTTCACTATAAATTGCAGCTCTATGTAGAAATAAAAAATCTCACTTGACCAATCAACAAAATCATTATAAACAGAGAAAAGACCGACATTGTCAAGAATTTAATTTTACTTGGATCCATATTCATTGCTTATGGAAACAATAGTCAAGAAATCCAAATACAAGAGCTATTTAAAGTGATAAAGAGCAAAGATGTCTTTGGTAGTTACATAATCTGTTGCCAATTTGAGAGGATTACAAGTGAAGGGGTGGAATCTGACCTGTCAATCAAGATATAACCAATGAGGCCTCTGTGTGTGCATGGCTTTCTCCTGAGAATTCTGGGAAATCTGATTTTTCCTCCTTGGAGGCAGGAGACATACTCTCTCTGCTCATTTCCTATGAGACATCCCTGAGAAGAAGCCACACTGACCTACCCTGATGTAGCCAGAACCCTGGACCTGGAGAAGCTACGTGTAGACCTCTGCCAGTGCTGAGATGCTTACAATGCCACTGGATCTACAAGACTTCCCACCCATTGGCCTGTGATTGTCCTGCATTTAGTGTCATTGCATGTGTTTCGTGAGGCTGAAGAGGACTTTATAGACTGGTCTCGGACATATGAGCTAATATCAGACTTAAGGGCTTGGACTGGACTAGGTTGGGATGCAGCTTTCTAAATGTACAGTTATCCTTTATATAAAACTCTCTCTTATACACATATGAATTTCTAAGGATTTATTTCTCTAGTCTACCCAGACTAACACAATGTCATTTTGGGGACTAAGGTGTGCCTAAACCAAACCATGGTATTTCCAATCACCTCATATGCATGCTAAAGTTGGACCACGAATAAGGAAGACTGGAGAAAATGTGATGCAGTTGAAATTATGGTGTTGGACAAAAATATTGACAGTGAGTGGCCAGAAGACCAAATAGATCTGTCTTGGATGAAATACAGCCAGAATCCTCCTAGAAGCAAGAAAGGGGAGATTTCATCTCAAGTAGGTCGGTCATGTTACCAGTCTGCTCTCTGTTTTACTGTAAAAGCCCGTCATCCTCGGAAAGCAGAGCTTGATTGAGAAAGAGGAAGACCCGGAATGGTATGATTGACACGGTGACTGCAGCAGTGGGCTGATGTGAGCCCAACAACAATTGTGACCAGGTTGCAGCAGCAGGCTGGGTTTTGTTCTGCTGTGCATGAATAACAGTTGAATTATTGGCACCTAATAACAATAACAAGCAGAGCATACCAGAAAAAAAGAGGACACTTTCTATACACACACATGTATATGTATATATGTGTATGTATATATGTAGATATATATCTACATATAAAATGTGCCTTGGTCGTGTGTGTGCAGCCAAGTTGTGAGGATGGGCATCTGTGATTAAAATTTTATACTTCATCTAAAGTTTGATTTAATTTTATTCTCTGTGCTCTCTCAGAGTGTCTCTCTGCAACGAGGAAAGCCAACTGCAGGTGAGACGCATTAGCTTGAGACTGTTAAATAAGCAGGAAACAAGGGTACTCTTGGTTTGCACCACTGAGACAGATTGCTTTGTCACAGTTTCTAAGAATACCTTGACTA